GTAAAAAAGCTGTAAGTTCGGCCGGGCCGAACTTTTAATACCCTCCACCATTTGGTACAAATTTGGCAATTTCCAAAATTAAAACCCGTTAAAAATTCTGTTAAAATCTTAAAAATACCGAATGCTTATACGACGACGTGGGCCTGCATAGGCAACTTTTGTCATAAATTATTACAATATTTAAATGCGAAACTTGAAGAAAAATCTGTTTATAATGTAGCTAAAATCGTCAAAATACCGAATATGGGGGGTACCGTTATATGGGGGCTATACGAAGACATGGACCTGCACAGACAATTTTCTGGCATGGGCTGAAGTATCCATTACGAACTTCACATACGAAATCTGAAACAATCCCTGTAAATAATGTCGCTAAAATCATTAAAATACCGAATATCGGGGGGTACCGTTATATGGGGGCTATATGAAGACGTGGACCTACATGGCTCATTCTTTGACTTTGGATGAAGTATCCATTACGAACTTCAAATACCAAATTTGAAACGATTCCGGTAAACAATGTCGCTAAAATCATCAAAATACCGAATATCGGGGGTACCGTTATATGGGGGCTATATGAAGACGTGGACCTACATGGCTCATTTTTTGATTTAGGATGTAGTATCCATTACGAACTTCAAATACCAAATTTGAAACGATTTCGGTAAACAATGTCGCTAAAATCATCAAAAAACCGAATATCGGGGGTACCGTTATATGGGGGCTACAGGAAGACGTGGACCTGCACAGATAATTTTCTGTCTTAGGCTGTAGCATCCATTACAAACTTCAAATGCCAAATTTGAAATAATTCCGGTGAATAATGTCGCTAAAATCATCAAAATACCGAATATCGGGAGGTACCGTTATATGGGGGCTACATGATAACTTGGACCTACATGGCCCATTTACGAACTTAACCTGCCTACTGGGAAAAAATACATGTGTGCAAAATTTTAGCCTTCTATCTCAATTTGTTCGAAAGATAGCGTGATTACAACAGACAGACAGACAGACGGACAGACAGACAGACAGACAGACACACAGACAGACAGACGGACATGGCTAAATCGTCTTAGAATTTTACGCTGATCAAGAATATATATACTTTGTTGGGTCTGACATGAATATTTCGAGGAGTTACAAACGGAATGACAAAATTAATATACCCTCCATAGTATGGTGGAGGGTATAAAAAGAAGTAAAATGGTAGACTATTGAAAATATAGACAACGACAGCTTGCAATATCGGTTGATAACAGTTTTTACGCAGTGTGTTTAGCTTGGTCGAGTCACTTGACTTCGAAAACTAAATAATTGAATTTTCAATAATTACAATTGTTTTATTGAATATTTTTCGATCATGTATGGGCAGTTTTTTATTCCAATGCACCATTTACAGTTCATAAATCTTTAATATTTTTAACATTTCAGGTTTGAGTGACTACAATATTCTAACTCAAACTACTGAAACGACATCTGCTGATCCGAATTTTTTCGAAGATAAACGATGAGATCATTTCTTTGTCTTTATTTTCATTAGTCTATGACTATTATAAAAACAAGTTAAAAAGCAGTAAATTCGGCCGGGCCGAACCATTACCATATTCAAATTCGAAACTTGAAATAAACGGTGAATAATGTAGCCAAAATCATCAAAATATCGTATATAAGGAGGTGCCGTTATATTGAAGCTGTGCGAAGACATGGACCAGCATAGACAATTTTCTATCTTAGACTGTAGTATTCATTATGAATTTCAAATACCAATTTTGAAACAATTCCGGTGAATAATGTCGCTAAAATCATCAAAATACCGAATATTGGGATGTACCGTTATATGGGGGCTATACGAAGACGTGGACCTGCACAGACAATTTTCTGTATAAGGCTGTAGTATCCATTTCGAACTTCAAATACCAAATATGAAACAATACCGGTGAATAATGTCGCTAAAATCATCAAAATACCGAATATCGGGAGTTACCGTTGTATCGGGGGGCAATATCAAAACGTGGACCTGCAGAGACAATTTTCTGTCTCAGCCTGTAGTATCCATTTCGAACTTTAAATGCCAAATATGAAACAATTCCGGTGAAATGGATACTACAGGCTGAGACAGAAAATTGTCTGTGCAAGTCGACGTCTTCGTATAGCCCCCATATAACGGTACCTCCCGATATTCGGTATTTTGATGATTTTAGCGACATTATTCACCGGAATTGTTTCAAATTCGGTGTTTGCAGTTCGTAATGGAAGCTACAGCCTGTGACAGAAAATAGTCTATGCAGGTCTTCGTATAGCTCCTATGTACGGTATTTTGATGATTTTGGCTACATTATTCACCGTTTATTTCATGTTTCGAATTTGAATATGGTAATGGCTTGGAACACGTCGTACAGGTCCTCATATAACGGCTATATGTGGTATTTTTAAAATATTAACAGAATTTCTGGCGAATGTTATCTCTTTCGAAAATTTTCAAATTCGTTCTAAATGGTGTGGGGTATTTAAAGTTCGGCCCGGCCGAACTTACTGCTTTTTTACTTGTTAGTATTAATTCAGTCTGTAGGGATTCTGTATCTATAGACTTAGGAAAATATAATAAAAACCAGTAAAAAAGCAGTAAGTTCGGCCGGGCCGAACTTTAAATATCCTTCGCCATTTGGGACCATATAGGAAATTAAAAAAAAAGTTAAAAAGCAAGAAATTCGGCCGGGCCGAACTTTGAAAATCCTCCACCATTTGGAACGAATTTGGAAATAAAATCCTTAAAAAATGTTGTTAAAATTTTAAAAATACCGAATACAGCCATTATATTTGTGTCTATACGATGTGGACTTACATAGGCATTGTTTGTCATAAGTCATTACCAAATTCAAATAATAATGTCACAATATCGTATATAGGGAGGTACCGTTATATCGGAGCTGTGCGAAGACCTGGACCAGCATAGGCAATTTTCTGTCATAGGCTGTAAATCCATTACGAACTTCAAATACGACATCTCAAACAATTTCGTTGAGTATTGTACCTAAACTCTAAACAAATGCCGAATATAGGGAGGCACTAGTATATGGGGCCTGTACGAAGACCTGGACCTGCATAGACAAATTTCTGTCACAGACTGTAGATCCCATTACGAACTCTAAATATGTAATATGAAACAATTCCGGCTAATTATGACGCAAAATTATATGGAGGCTATACGAAGACCTGGACTTGCACATAGAATTTTCTGTCTTCAAATACCAAATTTGAAACGATTTCGGTGAATAATGTCGCTAAAATCACCAAAATACCGAATATTGGGAGTACCGTTATATGGGGGCTATACGAAGACCTGGACTTGTACAGACAAATTTCTGTCTTAGTCTGTTGTATCCATTACGAACTTTAAATACCAAATTTGAAACTATTTCGGTGAATAATGCCTCTAAAACATCGAATATCGGGAGGTAACGTTATATGGGGGCTATATGAAAACGTAAACTTACGTGGCCCAAACTTAACCTGCCTACTGGAAAAATAAACATGTGTGTAAAATTTTAGCCTTCTATCTCTATTCGTTCGAAAGATAGCGTGATTACAACAGGCAGACAGAGAGACATCGCTAAATCGACTTAGAACTTTACGCTGATCAAGAATATATATACTTTGTTGGGTCTGACAAGAGTATTTCGAGGAGTTACAAACAGAATGACAAAGTTAATATACCCTCAATAGTATGGTGGAGGGTATAATAAAATCCATTCAAAAATGTGGCTAATATTAGCAAAATATCGAATATGGTGGGGGGGGGGGGGAGGTGTAGCGTTATATGGGGCTATGCGATATCGTGGACCCATATAAATAATTCTCTTTCAGGGGATAAAGTACTCACAAAGAAATCACAAAGAATTTTCACACAATTATATTAGAAAATGTGGCTAAAATCATAAAAATACTGAATATCGAAAGGCGCCGTTGTATGGAGATATACGATATCGTGGACTTATATAGACAATTCTCTTTCAGGAGTAAAGTACTCACAAGGAACTCCTTGTGTGAGATATCAGGCAATTCCATTGAAAAATCATCAAAATACCTAATATCGGGAGTACCGTTATATGGGAGCTATACGATATCGTGGACCCATCTTCGAACTTGACCTGCCTGCAGACAAAAGACATACATATGAAAAATTTTAGCTTCCTATCTTAATTCGTTTTGACTGTAGCGTGATTACAGGAGACAGGGCTATACGCTGATCAAGACTATATATTGGGTCTTTATTATTTCGATGAGTTACAAACGGAATGACGAGGGTAGATTAGAAACTTCAGAAACTAAAATCCGACGGTTCGAGTTTTCTGTTCTTGTGTATGTTCTATAAATATGTATAAATTTTTGTTTGGAAAAATTTTTAAATTTAACTATTTTTAACTGAATATTCGTATCGTTACTGTAAACAAAAAAAAAATTGTCCATAAAATGGACAGTAACAACAAAAGTTTCAGAATTGGCACACAGGCGTGTATTTGAAAATGAATGTTTTCACGGAAAATTTATGAAAAAATTATTAACAGGCATGTTACAGAAACAAATTCCGATCGATAGTAGAATTGATTCCGTATTTGGTTTTTTTCGGACAATGAAAAACTAAAATTTTATTCGAAATGAATTTACTTTTGATTTTGAAGGTGTAACTGTACATTTATGGAGCTTATAACATTTAAACACTTTAAGCAATAATGTTGTTTTAATGAAAAAATACAAGTTAAAATTTACATTTTTTATCTTTTTATTTAAAATAATTCGCAAATTTCAATTGCATCTCAGTTTTTGTTTATGTTTGTACATTTTTTTTCAACACTCACGAAATATTTGAGTTCTAAAGGACGCAAATTGCATGAATATAGTCGATGTAGATAACCTACTGACAAATATAAATATTCAAATAATATACATACACAATGTCTTTGATTTTATATATAAAAATGTTTTCTTATAAATTTCAGTTTGCCGAGCACGTATTCCGAACGTTCGATGCAAATGGTGATGGTACAATAGATTTTAGAGAATTTCTTTGCGCCCTCAGCGTAACGTCTAGAGGAAAATTAGAGCAAAAGCTAAAATGGGCATTCTCTATGTATGACTTAGATGGAAATGGTTACATATCACGCCAAGAAATGCTTGAAATTGTTACGGTAAGTCTGAATACACATTATAACAGACATTCTGTGGATACAAGTTTGTGATCCGATTAGGGGAATATAATGTCAGTGGCCACTTACCCGATATAGACAATATATGTATCGTTTGAAAACTTATGAAAGCTACTTACAAAAGGTATCAAAATTAGAAAACGTTGGTTCGCGTTAGCCGCCGTGGGACATACCCAGAGGAGAAAATTTTAAGACCAGGCCGAAGGCCGCCTGTTTACAAAAGGTGTCAAATTTAGAAAACTTTGGTTCGCCTTAGTCGGTGTGGGACATACTCAGAGGATAACCCGAAAAGCTACTTACAAATGTATCAAACTTAAAAAACTTTGGTACGCGTTAGCCGGCGTGGGACATACCTAGAGGAGAAAATTTCAAGCCCCGACCGAAGTCCGGCTATTTACAAAAATGTCAAATTTAGACAACTATTGTTCGCGTCAGGCGGTGTGTGACATACCCAGAGGAGGAAATCTCAAGGCCCGGCTGAAGGCCGCCTACTTATAAAAAGTATAAAATTTAGAAAACTTTGGTTTGCGTTAGCCGTTGTGGGACATACCTAGAGGAGAAAGAGAATATCTGTGGACCCGAAAAAGGTATTAGCACAAAATGTAGCTTTTTGGAAAGGTAAGAGTGTCAGAAATACTTTGGCATCAATTTGGTTGCCCCCCCTTAATGGGCATTTTTCGACTTTTTGGGGGTTTTATAAAAAATCCGGGTCCATAAAATCGATAATTTGTCTATAACTTCCCTGATTTTTGATCCGAATGTTCGTGTTCAAGACCCCGACTTGACCCAGATCCACTCACCCGATATACATCCGAATCCACTTACCCGATATAGACAATATAGGTATCGTTTGAAGTTGGTCACATAATGGGGTAATTTTTGAGCGGTTCGGAAGTTATAGTCAAATTAACGATGTTTTGGACCCGAATTTTTTATAAAATCCCCAAAAAGTCGAAAAGGGGCCCATTATGGGGGTCAACCAAATTGATATCAAATTATTGGCGATACTTTTACCTTTCCAAAATGCTACAATTTGTTCTAATACCCTTTGTAAGTCCAGAGATATGGGTCTTTCCACCCGCATAGCCCGATTCTAACAAGTTCATTAATATTATGTGTTCAATAAAAAAGGTTTATTTATTTTTTATTTAATATCAAATTTAGAAGACTTGGGTTCGCGTTAGCCGGTGTGGGACATACTCAGAAGAGAAAACCTCAAAGCCCGGCCGGATACTTACAAAAAGTATCACATTTAGAAAACTTTGGTTTGCGTTAGCCGGGATGGGACATATCCAGAGAAAAAAATCTTATGCCCCGGTCGAAGGCTTCGCGTTAGTCGGTGTGGGACATACCCAGAGAAGAAAATCTCAAGCCCCTGCCGAAGGCTGGCAATTTAAAAAAAGTATCAAATTTAGAAAACTTTGGTTCGCGTTAGCCGGTGTGGGACATACCCAGAGGAGAAAATGTCAAGCCCCGGCCGAAGGCCTTCTACTTACAACTGTTTAATCTAGAAAAAAAAAAAAAAACTTTAGGTCGCGTAGCTGGTTGAACGTACCAGGAAGAGATTATCTCTGGACCCCGAAAAAGGTTTTAGCACAACAATTTGGCGTCAATTTGGTTGACCCCCATAATGGTCCCTTTTTCGGCTTTTTGGAGTTTTTATAAAAATTTCGGGTCCAAAAAATCCAAAATTTGACTATAACTTCGGAACCGCTTAAAAATTACCCAATCATGTGACCACTTTCAAACGATACCTATATGTCTATATCGGGTAAGTGGATCTGAATGTTGAACCCGGACTTTCGGGTCAAAAATCTGGGTCCCGGGTCTGTCTCCCAAGAAAAAAAGCTTCCCGGAATCAGGGTAAAAATAAGTACCTCTGGAAAAAAAATTCGAAAAAAGAGTTTATACTAAACTAGAGTGTTCCAAAATTGTTTCCCGGGATCAGGGTAAAAATACCTACCACTGGAAAAATTTCGAAGATATTGAAGCCGATTGCAGTACTGACGTAATTTGAGCCTTTCCTTCAATTTATATCATCAATGGTTGAAAATATGGAATGATGCCACAAATGTTTATGTACCAACTTTATTAGTTTCGGGGAACAATTTTACTCGAAAGAGAGATATTCTTCAACTCAGGAAAAGGTCAACCAGTCAGCAAAGAAGAATTTTGTGGTTTCTCACAATGGCAAGTGCATACATAAATTTTTTTCTCTAATGCCAACACTTTCTTTTTATTTCCCATGGCTGCTAAAGGTATATTGTACCCCCCATGATAGAAATACAAGGTAGCCCTATCAGCCAGCTGTAGGAAACTTGATATGTCAAACAAATTGTTGTAATATGAATTCGCCCTACATATACATAAAATGAAAAAAACCAATTATTAAAATTGAAAATTTTGGAAGAAGTCAAAAACAAACCAAATATGAGGTTATGGTAATTCTACCATGTATGAGGTGTTGTGTGGTTCATGCATAGGTCTATTCACTAATTCTAAGATTTCTTCCCTACCCCTTAAAGTAAAAATGATTCATCTAGATAATAGTTTATGTTCTTCTATAAGATCTTCATCAGATCATATTTGGACGTTAGATCTTGTACCTATCCTACAAAGGGTTAAAATATTGAATAATCATTATTCTCATAAAATGTGATATTATTCTTCAGTTCTCTTCAAAGAATCAATATTAGATTTAGCGAAAAGTTTCAATTATTTAATCTTCATGATACGTCCTTCAAATAAGGCAAACATAAATAAGTGGTCAAATTCTGAGGATATATATCTGTAGCAACTCCGACTGAACTTTTTTTCTAAAAACAGATTTGTGATAAAGTTCAAGTACAAACCAAATGTTAGATGTTGATTGGTGTGAAAAATAAATTATAATGGAGAAGGAGTGGTATTTATATGTGCCCAAGGAAGGAAGAAGGATTGGAATAGAGTACGATGTGTGGAATCAATTTGAATCCCTACACCAAAATCTGTTGTCATAATTTTAACCCGAAATTTTTGATTGGTAAACGATTCATAGTAGTTACCATTTCATAGCTTCTAAAATGGAGGAGAATAGTTTTGAAATTGTCAAAGAATAAATTATTTTTAAAGGCTTTGTTCCTTGTTCCCATTTTTTTTTTTTATTTCAAAGGCGAACGTATCATCTTTACACTCATACAAACCAATATGGGATAAAAAAACCAGTGTAATATTCGGCATGGACTTTTATTGATAGACGAATCCTTCCCTGTTCCTATTTTTTTATAATTTCAAAGGCGAACGTATCATCTTTACACTCATAAAAACCAATATGGGATAGAAAAAACCAGTGTAATATTCGGCATGGACTTTTATTGATAGACGAATCCTATAAGACTAAAATAAATCAAAGGATCCTCTATATGAGATGCACAAATATGCTTTCTGAAAATAGCCAGGAATGTTCTTCTAAAATCCATAATTTGTCAGCGAGTATTTCCTTTAAAAATCAAGTATTTGATGTATTGAAAGAAATTCTAAATCGACTTAGAATTTTACGCTGATCAAGAATATATATACTTTGTTGGGTCTGATATGAGTATTTCGACGAGTTACAAACGGAATGGCAAAGTTAATATACCCTCCATAGTATGGTGGAGTGTATAAAAAAACAGTGATTATTTATACATATGAAAGAAAGTTGTTTTAGTTACTACATTTATAACTCAAGAACCGCAGGTCTGATTTTAACGATTCAGACAAATTCGGAATTGTCCCTTGGCGGAAAAGGATAAAATCCAAAAAAATCTCGTACAAATGAATGATTTTAAGTTTTTCTTTTTGACTTTTGAAATGTACAAAAGTAATGTTTTATTTTGTATGATTTTTGTTCATTTTGACTTACTATTTTCGAATGTATATTCGTAGTGTTTTTTTTTTTAATTCTAATATGAAGTGTATTTTTTTTTTTTTTGTTTTTGGTGGTATAAAGCGACAACGGACAAAAATGTTATTTATTTATTTATTTATTGGGTCGAACTATACTTAGAAGATACAAAATAAAGAATTATTTTCACCATATAAAATAAAGTTTTGGTAGTTACTGCGCTCATAACTCAAGAACGGCTTAGAGGATTGGACATCGCTAAATCGAATTAGAATTTTGCGATGCTCAAGTATATATATACTTTGTTGGTTCTGACATAAGTATTTAGAGGAGTTTCAAACGGAATGACAAGGTCCATAGTATGGTGGAGGGTATAAATAAATGAGTGTGCAATACGATGTTAAATGGCTATCTTTCATGTCTAAAATTGATATTTAGCTTTTAACTCCAGTCCTACATAGTGCTTCAGCTGGTATATGCGAACACATTTAAACAAACAACTAGTAAAGAAGCAGACAATAGTAAAACAACAGACAATTTTCTATCTCAGCCTGTAGTATCCATTTCGAACTTAAATACCAAATTTGAAACAATTCCGGTGAATAATGTCGCTAAAATCATCAAAATACCGAATATAGGGAGGTACCGTTGTATGGGGGCTATATGAAAACGTGGACCTACATGGCCCATTTAAGAGCTTAACCTGCCTACTGGCAAAATAAACATGTGTGCAAAATTTTAGCCTTCTATCTCAATTCGTTCGAGAGATAGCGTGATTACAACAGACAGACATACGAACAGACAGACAGACACGCAGACAGACAGACAGACGGACATGGCTAAATCGTCTTAGTATTTTACGCTGATCAAGAATATATATACTTTGTGGGGTCTAAGATCATTATTTCGATGAGTTACAATCGGAATGGCAAAATGAATATAACCACCATGGTATGGTGGAGGGTATAAAATGACCTACAAAGCGTTATGGGGCTCACTTCAAAAAGTGGACCTATTTCTTTCATATGACAATAATCCATCCAATGAAATCTCTAAATGCAAAATTCATTGGGATTGCAATCAGTGAAATACCTAATATAAATGGTGCAAAAATAGT